TCTCAGCGTAGTTACGGTATTCCAATATCTAGACCCCGCCTCTGTATCGGTCAATCACCGGTAGGTACAAAAAGCCATTGCCATAGTGGTTTTCACAACAAATAAATAACGTCTTTTCTGGCTAAATGAAATGAAAATATCATGTAGTTCTATTAGATCTATGTTACATGGTAAGCAATAAGTGATTTTTTATATTTTTTGAAACAGTTTGTAGTAAGAATATCTCTTAAATGTCTTGATAGTCAATCCATCAAAGGTATACTGCTATATTTAAAATTTCGTCGAAACATAAGTGACCGAAGCTGAGGCATAAAGAAGTCGTTTTGATGGCCGATATTGTGATGAATTATGAAACTTGAGTGTAAGTTTAGATTTTTGAAATCAACACTAGTACTAGTAGTATTTAAATGCTTCAAGGACAAGTCTTCAAGCGCATATACAAAAACAACTGCAATTTTTGTAACTGTAGAATATTATCAGTCACAGACCTTCACACAAGTTGAACGGCTTACTTTCGTGGAAAACAAAGCAGCGCATAAGCGTGCAGGTATGCACTATCACGACATTTTTTTATTCAATCTAGGTTGGATAATATCTTGACATAGTTTGGTTGTGTCACCATGCAGTAGTCACCTTTCCCTTAGTTGATGTTCGTTTGAATCGAAGGAATTCCAAGTAATATGACCTCCTCACTCTGTACAAGGCCCAGATAAGACCTAGCCTCGAGTATTGCTCACATGTTTGGGGTGCTGCCGCTCCGACTACATTGTCCATGCTCAGAGGAGGGCTGTCTGACTGATCGACAACTCTTCTCTAACAGACAGTCTCGGGACAGACCCACCTAACTTTGGTCTCCTGTTCTAACCGTGTCGAACTTCCTACATCCAGAACTGGCCCATACGACCGCTCCTTTGTACCTAGGGTGTCGATATTGTAGAACAATCTACAAGAGGAGGCTTTTCACAGTTCTACTAACCTTAGGCAGTTCAAAAATCGGATTAACATCGGGCCGTACATACATCACATCCAGATGAATTATGATAACATTGTTCAAAAGAGTGAGCAGCGAAGACGTTCCATTATTTCATGGAATTCAGTAGAACAATCTTTGTTGTGCTCAATATAAAGTCCCACATCCCAGGTTGAGCATTTTTATCTAAAGCCGCGTACAGACCGAAAATCCAACGCCGAGCAAATGAAAGCAAGCACATGTGACGTTAAATATATTTTCGAATTAGACCGCGTCGGGTTAAGTTCGGTGCTAATGGCGAGCGACGAGTCTCCTCTCAACGAACAAATGACTAAATACTACAAGCGCAACAAATCCTGTCTAGACCAAATCAAACCTCCCTTTAATGTACAGATCATGGAGCGAACGCAATCGAACGCCAACGCCGTACACACTGATTCGAACACCTCCAAATCTGTTACCACATGTGCCTTGGCTTGCGTTGGAATCTCGTCTGTACGCGGCTTTAGGTGTACGTGATTAAATCTGCTGTTCCCACCAAGTGAGCTATTTTGTTGGCAATCATTTACCATTTCATTGTCCATATAAAGCCTTATCATAGGTAACCAGTAATTATCGTAGTGACGTCAAACCACTATCAGAGACCAAGTAAATTGAATGTGAATTGGTGGTCATTCCAGATGATCAGTAGACCGCAAAGGAAATCTAGAAAAAAACGCTAAAGGTTTTCGGACCAAGCAATATATTGTAACACTGTCACTTATGAGTAACAGTTCGCTTCGATTAAATGGATAAGTGTCACCCATCACACAGGCGTCTTTTGGCATTCAGGCGAGACGTGCTCACCATGCTACCAGATTTGACGTACTATGCAAAACTTGCATAAACTAAACGTCTCTACGACAATAAACAATCGTGTATAATGTTGTTTCATGCCTTTTAGCGATCATCAGTACGCTATAGGTCTGATCATTGATACTGCCGCCTATGAGCTAAAAACTGTAAAAAAGTACGGTTGGTTGTGATCACAGAGACAGAAAAAAACAGTTTCTATCCAAGTTTGGAGTTTTTCAGTCGCTTATTTGTTTTCCCTTGTTCAACCCCACGAGACTAGACATATCGTACTGATAACTGCTAAAAGCATAAAACCACGTCTTATATATTGGTTATTTCCCCAGAGGTGTAGAGCAAGCAGATCCTACTCAGCCTATATTTGTAGCACGAAAATATAGTCAGAAAATTAGTTGCACAACTCAAATATACGCCTCTGGTTGAAAATGTGAACATCTGTGTGATGCACTTCCAAGAATAATGAAACGGTGTCAAAAACACACTTCACGCTTATATAAATGGACAGTTTGCTAAATGATAATACGAGCTGTAGACAATCGTACTCAATGAGATAAGAAACAACTGCTGTTGACGCTACATCTAGTACAGAACACTGATAAAAGAAAGCATACAGTAAGTTACCAGGAGTATTACCCTGATGGACCACCATGGGGGCGGTAGATGCCAGCATAGTCGGTCACTGCTATCATTTACATTGTATTAATGCTCCAGCTGTGTAGTGGTTGTAGTGTAGACGAATAATATCAACAACAAATGCCTAAATATCAACTAAAATTTAAAAAAAACTAAAATGAAAGCAATCAAACAGCACATATCTAAGGAAACACCTTATCACCAAGTTTATCACAACTAGTAGTATGGAGAATTAATGTTTTTTCTAAGTATCTGATAAAGTCGAACTATTATGTAAATCTCGTCTCCATAGAAAATGTGAACAAAGAAATGAGATTATAGTGATTAGAATACCAGTTTTATAACGGGGAATTTTCAACCTTCGATAAACTTATCACCATAAGGTAATTCCCAAGAACTGTGATAACTATTTGTGTACTTGATGTGTTTCTTTAGGAAAATCGAATAAAACTTTCATGTTCCATAAATAACCTAAGAGAAAGTTCCGTAAATGTACTTTTCCCATCTAACAACTTTGAAGTAACTTGTTAGGATGGAAGCGTTCCTGGCCAGTCACTTTTTGGCGGAATATGCACCTGGCAAAAAGTGACTGGAAACATGTTGCGTGACGTAGTCACGTATTTTTTGACGTTCAAATTTGGTGATAGCTCGTCAACTGGCGTGATTGTTCTAAATAGCGACGTCTAGTTAATATCAAAGTGTGTACGAGTATTGTAGGACGTTGTTATGACATATGTCTTAGGTTATGTTTCTAATTACATATATTATTCTTATATGTACGATGTTTTTGTTAATTTACAATCAATCCTCCTGATTCATAACAGATCAAGTCAGCGGACTCAGAAATGATTATCTCATTCCATCCCTGTTCGACATTTACTTAAAGCTACTCAAACTTATCTGAAATGCCAAATTAGTATTAAGGTGTTGCCAAACTTTACCGTATAATTTCCCTTGTATATTTCTAGCGCTCTGAATCATAGCACGTAATGATTTTTAATAATAAGTGTGAGTGCAAATTGAATAAAAAATGACCTTATTTGATAAAACATTCAGATGGAGCATACAAAACAAAAAAAAAGTATATCACATTTTAGCCATTCAATGTGTTATGTATTCCTGTGTTTACGTTTAATCTGGCAACGCTATATCGAGTGACAGTTGACAATGAACGTTATTTCTTCCGTGCTCTCATTGTTTGTGCCCGTACGTACTGAGTATTCCCAAAACAATAGAAAAATAAGCCATTTTGAAAAAAGTTTCAGGCTAATGTGACCTTAATTCTGTTGTTTATGATACCACGAGTGTCACCCGTAATATTATACAGCTCATAGGGTGCAAAAATGGCAACATTATCGTACGGTTCCCACCTCACCGCCAGTGTTACAATAATGATAACGCACCATATATGAGTTTCTGTCTTAGCAACTGGTTATTATTTACGTCCAGCAAGTGACGTATTATTGACGCTTTCCGTATGACGTCACCAGTATGTGACATTAGGAGGTCGTTTTCACGTTACTCTTATCTCATTCAACTGTTGATTGCTCGTCATGTCATGAGCAGTTTGTAACGTCATTTTCACGTGCTTGTGCTACCTGGGCATATGGACCCAAGAGAGAAGTGCTCAGGAAGAGGGTCGTGAAGCCCTCTGAGAATCTGGTTGGCAGTAAAATTCATATGCTTAGCATGGTACAATATCGTGACTTTTTGCCTCTTATCGATGCTCCCCCCTCCCACTGGAAAGAATGTCTGCGGGCGTCTTCCGCCTCTAGGTGAGTAGCTTCGGGACAGTGTTACAATTTATACCCTATGATACTCCGTCTGTCTAATACTACTGATAACGTAGAGTGTATGAGTTTTTGAAGAAGCAGTTTTAGCAACTGGTTATTCATTATAAATAATAGGCATCATTTTCACGTACGGCAAGGGACGTATTATTGACGTCTTACATATGACGTAATCGGTATGTGACATTAGGGGGTCGTTTTCACGTTAGTCTTACGTCATTCAACTGTTGATTGCTCGTCATGTCATTAGCAGTTTGTAACGTCATTTTCACATACTTGTGCCACCTGGGCACATGAACCCAAGAGAGAAGTGCTCAGGAAGAGGGCCGTGAAGCCCTCTGAGAATCGGGTTGGCACTAAAAACTCAGCATGGTACAATATTGTGAATTTTTTGCTTCTCACCGATGCTCGACCCTCCTGGAAAAAATGTCTGCGGGATCAATGTCGAATGAACTGATTGTGCGATACGAATCGCTTTGTAAACGAGTTCTATGCGTATATGCGATGTATAAGTGACAAAACACTGGAGTTAATAAAGGTTATTAAGTTACAGTATTTAATTGTGAAACTTGTCCGACTTGTGTACCAAATTGTAACATTCGATAGCATGATGCGAAAGTTTGACCAAGTAGAGTACCTACAATCTACAAGATATGAGCATTGGGTTAAAACCGGACAGTTCTAGAGCTCAGTGCGCACTGTATCCAAAATGCCTGGCCTATATCGCGGCCTTCGATATCGCGATTAGTAGTATACAACAAACGCGCGCGCTGTGATCATTTCTTACCGAACCAAAACAACCATGAAACGATTTTTTATCGCCGTCTCGCGCTACACGAGTTAAAATCCATCGGAGGCAACCACAAGCGAGCCTCTAGCCCCAATCAAAACAGAAAAGACAAGGGCCTTCGTGTTTGTCCATTTGCTTATGAATCAGCTGTTCAAATTCCCAGCAGTACCGCGTTTCGCGTACTAGTATCGCACGTGTTCGAATGTGTGTTCTTCGGTACTCGGTGATTCGAATATTTTCGAAATGTCCAAGAGAGACGACTCTACCACAACTGATGCTAACGAACCCCTCATAGTGAAACATGGAAATACCAAGGTAGAGGAAATCATCAAGGCACAAGCACATCCTGTCAAGAGGAACAAAAGTAAGTATCTTGAATTATCAAGAAAACAAGAAAAAAACGTTATTTGTACTAGTATACCCATACTTCCCACCAGAATTGGCGACGAAGTATTGTAATCGGAAAACATTTCATAAATGACTATGTTTTTTGGATGTTACTTGACATTACATGTCACTCATTTCCGTCGGTCTATCCATTTGTCCGCTAATCTCCCTCTGTAACTCAGAGAGCACTGCTCCAATTTTGATGTTATCTTGTCACAACTATGCCCAGGAAGAAAAGGCGTTGCATGTTCTGAATATCGATGGAGGCAGAGCTAACAGGAAGAATAAAAAAAAATAAAAATCGCTCAAACTATTTTCCATTTTTTGAGGAGTAAAAAATTGAGGCTTAAAAGTTGCGGGATGGAGGGGGGTTGGTGTATCTTATTTTTTTGCGTTATTAGTTTCATAAACTTATTCCCCTTAAGACTTTTGTAAATGTTTTAATACCCTTATCGCAACCGTGTCCGCAACGTTGTCGGATGGTTGGTAGGGCACAAGAAAAATTTGTAGATCGCACTGCAGTGCCGTAGCTACCTTGGGTGGCAGCCGGTGCGGAAGTTGGTGGTGTCACCCCATCGAAAGTCAAAAACAATCAATTTTATATGATTTGTAAACGTCATGGATCATTTAATATTTATATTTAAAATATTGAATAAATAGCAAAACACAATAAAAAATATTTTTATCTTACAATTAAAATCTCTTCTTTCTAGCTGCAAACTCAGAAATAACTGCATCAAAATTTGTATTTTGTATTGCCTCGTGTTCGATGGCTAATATACTAAGATTGCTAAGCAGCGACTGGGTCATTGTTGCCCGCAAATAGTTTTTTATTAATTTTAGTTTAATCACAAGATTAGGAAGAGATTCTGTATAATCTTATTCAACAATAAACTTTAAAAAATCTAGAGATACCCAATCAGAAACTGTATCATTAGCTGCTTTTAAGTGTATTCGCTGTCTTGGTATCTCCAAAAGTAATTCTGTTTCTGAGATCTCATCATAAAAATTAGTTAATTTGGATGTAACTAATTTCTGTTCTTCATTATTCGCCAAAAGCAAAGTGTTTGTTTGTACGATCTCAAACAATGAAGCTAGGTCTTGAAGATACTTCGATCTTGTCTGGAGTTCAACTCTGAAAAAGTTGAGTCACCGGTGCGGCTCGCCCCCCCTTGCTATGCCACTGGATCGCAGTGGGATCAAATGGATGGGGACTTTGAACTAATTGTTTGTGTGATTCGTAGTTAGGTGTTTTCTAATAGAGATTAGGTTGTTCCGAACATAATATTTTATTAATGACAGCGTTGCGCGGATGGTTGCAGCGTCAACCTACTTGGCGTTATTTTTTAGGATGACATGATAAGGTATAAGGTATCATAAAGTCATAAGTACCCACATGTAGAACACACTATATTTTATGTTTTATAATTAATATCTTTAGAGCAACTTATTTATAAATTATTTTTTACTTGAAAATAATACAGACCGAAGATACTGGTTCACTGGTTTCTAAGCTGTTAAAAATGGATCAAAAATGAGGCGTAAAGTTTTCCGAAAAATCCAGTGAATAGAAACAACCGAAATTTCATCATGGGTCAGAGCATGTAGACCAGCAAAGTAACAGATTTTCATCAGGCTGTTTACACGTTGTCTAAGTTGTGTTTTGTTATGCTTTGGCATATTCCGGGACAGGGGAAGACAATCGACAACGCCGCAAAAAAAGATACAATAGCACGCAACCAGAAATTCCGCTCTTACGGGAACAGATTCCGTAACTAATTGCCGAAGGGCGTTGTTATACGCACGCGTTAAGTTTGTTGTTTGTATGTATCATTGAATAAAGTTTTCATGACGAAGTCTAGAATTTTTGCCGAATTTTAACTCCCTTAAAAATGATTTCACGAACTTAACACCCAAAAACGATCAAGAACAAAATTATCCAATTTGAGAATCATCTAAATGTAGGAACTCTGTGGTATTTCATCAAAATTGGAGACGACTGGATGATGAAATTCTCGAATTCAATATTTTTTTCGCGATCGCAATACTTTGTCGTCAATTGGCGTGGTAAGTAAAATGTTCAATTTCCTAAATTAATATTCTAATCTAGGCCGACTCAATATTATTACTGAACCGAGGAGGAATTGAACGAACTCAGAAATTCAAAATACTGATTGTTTCAGTAATTTATGTACCTATACAGAATGTTTTAGAGAAACGTGTCAATATTCTTAGGACAGAAAGTACATTTAAAAATGACTATAAAAGTTTCCATACACGTCTCAAGATGTCTCAAGTTACAGAGGGTGTTGTAAATTTCTACACCACTGCAGAGAGTAAATGAGGACATATGAATATTGTTCAAATAATGTTATGGTGAGATAAGATTACTCTTCTAATACACTAGATACAGTTTCCGATCTTAAATTTCGCTAAATCCAACGTATTTTTAAAGTAGAATGGGCTGTCGTTTTTTATACGGATTTTACCTCAAATATGCAAACCAATTCTTCTCTGAATAGAGAAGTCTGACAAAATTAGAGAGGCAATTTATGTGTGTAGGATACGAAGAGAGAAATAATAATGGAATATAATGATAAACGTGACAACCACAAACCTACCTTAGATGGTTTCGTTAGTACCACCCTGTACCATTTCGTTTCTTTCTACAAGGGCAGTATGTAAACAATTCGATATAGGCAACAATGTCAGGTTAATATCAAAGCCACTTACTTGGTTACGGTACGACGACGAGTTATCCTCCTTTGGAAAGCGATAAGGGCGATATGAGGGATTATCGGGGCCAATACCTATTCTTAGAAAAATGATTGGAGTACCTCCCATATTCAACCGACTCATTACATGCACTACCTTAGGATTACGTTAATTATCCGCAGTGGTGCCAATTCATCATTATTTATTTATGATTTATCATATACTGGTCCGCAAACCCTAAGAGCGGGGGCACACAGTCCCTGGGACACACAGTCCCTCATGGACACAGTTCTCCACTTAGGCAATTAAGCACACAGCAACCTATGTTGACACCTAGGCATATAGACAAATATGCTTAGTTTAACGATTGTTACGAAAAGCAGTCCAGGATCCAGGATATCACGTTGGCCAACCGAGCAAGTTGACAGTCTTTAGAATAACAATCCCTACGCACATCCTGCCATGAGATATATTCAGATGCCAGCGATTACTGAGAGAAGATGGTTAAGCGCAGTGGCGGCTCGTGGCAAAATAAAACAGGTGTTCTGCAAATCCGAACTTACCTATTTTTTATATGTCAGTTCGATCCTACGCTCCTTCTTGGCAGCAAATTTGTCGATCACCTTCCGGTTCAAATTTTCCATGGTCGAAATAAATTCCTTTGCAATGGACAGCATCGACAACGCTGTAAGGCGATCCTGGGTCATATTTCTTCATGAAAAAACATCATGAATAAAATTCAGTAGATCTTTTTGTATTTCTTTAGAAGTTCCTTTACATATTGAAGCATTTTTATGTGTTCGCTTAAGGTTGTATCAAGCTCAGCAGAAAAATCAATCAGTACACGAAATATTCCCGGGTTTTGGGAGCTCTCGGTTTCGTCGTGGCCCCGTAGCGCCAATTCAAATGCTCCGCAAAATTTTATACAATCTATTATTTTTGATAGAACGTACCTGTTTTTTGTAAAGGTATCAGTATGCTGTTGTATATTTCTTCAATATGCTGAATCTAACTGAGCTCTGATGTTAACAGTCCCCAATAAAGCCAATTCCATCGAATTATGAAGATGTGTTTTAGAGTTTTCATGCTTTTTATTTTTTAAACTCAGGTGCACCAGATCTGTAACACCTACCTCCGTCCAAGCTTTGTCACCCCCGAAAAGTATGCAAGGAAAGCAGAAAACGGCATTCTTCCTGTTGCATCCACAAATCCAGTCATTTCTGGTGTAAATCTCCCTGCTGAAATGCCGCGTATAGTCCTTGCCCCGACTAACGCCCTGTGTTTCTATAAATATGTCTGGCAGCGGTCGACCTGACACCTTCAGCTCAATTTTTTCTTCAAATGTGTATTTCCAGAATCGTTTCACGCTGATAAGTCTGTAAACCACATCCATTGTCTGGCACTACCCTTCTACACAGCCACAGTCAGTCAGTGAGTCACTAGTCACTCAACGTAAGACCCAAAATACCTGAATAAAAAATTTTTCGCATTCAAATGTTAAGCCACGTCATGCGACAAGACCAATATGCCAATACCGAGGACCGAGCACCGACCGACCAATCAGATATCGTACTTCGCATTAGATCTGTACGGATCTGCATAAATTGCAGCACATGCTTATGCTTAGATCACGCATTTGATTTTGTAGAGAGAGACAAAAGCAAGCGCGTGCGGCTTGTGTCGAAGTAGTGCACAGACCCTTTTCAAGTGGCCCATGAATAATGTTACGCTGCGGTCGCGACGAAAATAAGTAGACAATTGGTCGATTATAATGCTGCAAAACAGACTCGATGCCGTGTCTTGCGGGGGCAGGCCGGTATTGTTTCTGTTTGTGTTATAACATGGAAAATAAATAATAATCAAATTACTACTGCTTTTTTCTGTTAAGACAAAAGTTTGGGCAGTTCTGCAGCTCTGCAGAACTTAAGGGCCAGCCGCCCCTGGTTAAACGGTCATTTAGTTCTAGAATTGCACGTCGGCCATAACCGCCTAAACCCAGCAATCGGGTTCCGAAAGTCCTATAACAAGCCCCAGAGACTGGAGTCGTCATCCCTGTATGAGCCAGTTAATTTCCCTATCCTTATCCGCAATTACCGACTCCGTAAGCCATTAAAAGAAATAAGGATATACCTGTATGATCCAAGCATCATCATAAATATAGATATATGCTCAAAGCATCTTTATAAACAGGGCTATACGATCAAAGCGTCTTTATAAATATGGCTTACGACATTCATGATCATGAGTATAAAAGTATTATGG